CCTGCTTTGGCTGGGTATCCTTGGCATCAGGTTGGCCCTGCTGTGCATCCTTGGTTCTAGGTTTCCTGCCTCCTCTGCCCCTTCCTCTGCCTTTCCCCTTTGGCTGAGGTGGGTCTGCTGGTTGGTCAGGGTTGTTTGCACCAGTGGGTTCATCCTTTCCAGCCTGTCCCCTGTTGCCAGCTGCAGCTGCATTGGGGTCAGGCTGTTTTGTCCTTACTCGGAAAGCATTCTTCACCTGCAGTGTGTATGAGGTCTTGGGGAGAAAACTGGAGAATCAACTGTTTGGAACAAACTCCACATCACACAGGTGTGGACAAGCACCGCTCCTTCCCCTGGGCTTTCAAAAGATCCGCATCATCAGTCTCTTTACCATCAACTTCCTCACATAGCTGCCTCACTTGGTCCTGCCAATAAATAGACACAACTGAGATATGCTGAATTGCCACCCAAGACATGTACACATTGAAGGCCTCACCTCCAGAGAGGTGTCCGCAGATGCCACGCCGACCATCAAGGGCTTAGACTCCTATTGGAAGACATGGTACTAACAATTAATGTTTCATGTGTGTTGTGGTTACATTAATGTTTTACAAGACATTGGTGCAGTATTCAGTGCATCATTGAAATACTGAGGCTAGCCTTCATCGCTTGCCGTCTCTCGTCCGACTTCTCAGGGTGGATGTCCTGGGCAGGGTTGTGCTCTGTCAAGATGGTTCTGGAAGTATATGTTGCATGAAATGCATGAAATTGTTTCTTAGGCCAATGCACCTGGTTGGGCAGCTCATAATCAAAAGGTAAAGTCTCCATACAATCAGGATGAACGAAGAGAGCCTGACAAGATGAGATAATTTCCAAGAAGCCAATGAAACATACATTCATCGTTTTATTCAATATATATATATTATAAAATATATATTATATATATATAAGCAGGAGGCCTTCTTGACATCTTGCTCCGGCAGTGTGTCTTCAGAGCTAGGAGAATCTTCCTGCAAGGTTTACGAGATAACACTCATGAAGCAACCAATCTGTACCCCTAGGCCATCGGTGAAAGCATTGTTTGAGTCCTCCCGGTCACACATGGCTGCTTGAACATCTGATTCCAAACGGCCTTCGATATCACCTGGACAGGACATAGTTTCAAACAGCAACCATATTTCTTTAGACTTTAAACTTTCAAATGCATGTCCCACAAACATGTGTCATGGATCAGCCTTCCCCATCCCCTGCAAGAGCAGTCCGGATAGTTCGTTTGATGAGAACCACAGACTTCTTCCTGCACAGGTCATGGGGATTTGATAGGATTTCCATCGATATCACCATGGTACCAAGATTGTCCCCTACACAAGCCTCGATCCCTCCGAGCGGCTCGCAAGGCCCAATGCATGAACGGCCAAAGACCGAGCGATGCCCGCAGTCAAGCCAGCCCATGCCTGTAGTAGATCACCAATTGAATTGTCAATTTTGTTTATATAATCAACACAAGCAAAACATATAGCATTGGGCATAACAGAATGCATTGACCAAGAAACTTTGATCGACTTCTTCACAGTTTTCGGAGGGAAAAATCCATACCGTTGTGCGCAGATGTAGAAGACCGCCTTCCAATCATGGCACAGCGCTGGGAAAAAGAAACAAGTCTGACAGGCTTGGCACTCCATACTGTTCTTGTGTCCAATAAACCAAGCCTTGAATTTGGCCAGGCTTGGCACTCCCACCGGGGCAAAAGTAGCGAAGAACTCCACAAGGAATCGCCAGTTATAATCCAACTTAGATGCATCGAGCTGACAAACAAATAATGTGGTCGACATTAGTTTGTGCATATTGTTCAGAACTAACTGGGAAACCATTGGAAAAACTGGGTTCATCACAGCCTCGGTGCATGAAGGCCCATTCGAGTCCAGTTCAAAGACCTTTCTTTCCTTCCATGCCCATTTGATGGCATTTGGCCAGACTGTTGGTTGTGTGCACATAAATTGTTTTAAAGCAAAACTTTCTGTCAGTCCTGGCTTTGTCTGATGCTGGGAATCCTTTCAGGATCCGCATGAAGCCACCCAACAACAGTATCCTCGAGCAACATCAGAATGGGATCTTTGCCCCTCTTCTTCACCTGAGTTGACAGTAAACTTATGCTTTAAATGGTAATGCTATCCAAACGAGGATCTAGCAACAAACCCAGTGCATCGTTGTCAGCATTCTTTGGTTCTTGATCGTAGTGACAGAGCACAAAGATTCTGTAGATCAGACAAGTGACGAATGGTCCATGGAGTGACGAATCCACAGCAGGGACCATCATGGTTAAGAAGCTCCAACCCTCTCAACCCAGCAAAAAAGGCCAAACGGCTGTTGGTGAACTAGGATAGACCAGGATACAGAAGGTGCTTTGCATGCAGGCTCAGGCACATTAACTGCTACAGGTTAACTTGTCAACATCACAAGATAGCAGGGAGGCAGGGATGGTGGGATGCGCACCTTCAAGCAGGGTGTGGCTCGAAGAAGCCGGAGGTTCAGGAACCAAGGCAAAACGACCTCAATGGTGGAACCGGGAAAAACATTGTTAGAAACCAAGGCTGAAACATATATTGGGAATGCAACATGTGCTGAGAACACCTGAGAACTGTGCACTGGGCAGCTGCTTTCTGCATAGGTCATTGCATGGTGCAAGCATCGCAGCCAGGGTGTATCTGCAAGTGTTGTGATATTTTGCTGGGACCTGTGTGCTTCCAAATATATTATATACCTGGTCAGCTCGAGTATGTCTGCTTTCTAGGACTTGGGGGGTTCAATGTGCACAAATGTATGCCTTACTGCTGGAATTGCTTGCTTGGTTCTGCCAATTTATTGCAGTCTGTGAGGTGTTGGCTTGTTTTGTGCTGTAGTTTGTGCTGAGATGTGTAGTGATGTCCTGCTGTGTCAACATAAAGATGTACATATTTGATTTTTGAATATTAATATATTATATATGAGTTCACATGTGACTTTTTGAAGTTCACATGTGACTTTTTGGGGGTCTATTTCGTGAATGTATGCTCTGTGGGCCAACATGCCCTCCGTAGGCTCCTGGAGCCTACATTGCCATGTAGCAAAATAGTGCTGACACCGATTGTCTGGGAATGGCACACGCTGGAGTGTGGTTGGGAAACTCGACAATGGGTGTGTCAGCCGAGAGATCTCCAAGACAGGAAGGAGACTGCAGTGGGGGGCCACGCGGCGCAGGCCTGACGTGTTTCGATTGAAAGTTAGGTTTCCTCTCCTTCATTGAAAGTACGGTCGCCGCAGAAGCACATGGCAACAAGAATGGCAATAAGTTTTTTTTTTAAATGTTGGCCGGCTACTTAGGAAGAAACTAGACGACGGTGTGGCCCAAAAGAAGAGCAGGAGGGAGTAGTCAACAAAGACAATGGAAGTGGAAGATAGAAAGATGATGGATGTTGATTGATGATATTTGATTATGAATGATGAAAAGGTTTTTGATGCGGAATGATTGATGGTGAGAAGATATGCTGGACGGTGCTGGATGATGATCAACGGTGATGAAAGATGCGTGCTCATGAATGATGTTGATGATTGATTCTATTCATGATAAGCTGCAACATGTGGATTCCATGTCAGTTGGCATTGAGTGTATGTATCACAAGCTCAAAACTACCATTGAGGTATTCTCAGTCTGTGCGTAATTTTATCTGTGTGTAAAGGCTTCTGAGCGTACATTTGTCTCTGTGTAAACGCCTCTGTGTGTAAGCGCTCTTCTGCGTAAAGACTTTTCTGCGTAAAAGCTTCTGTGTGTAAAAGCTTCTGTGTGTAAAAGCTTCTGTGTGTAAAAACTTGTCTGTGTAAAGGCTTCTCGGTGTAAAAGCTTCTGTGCGTAAAAGCTTCTCTGTGTAAATCGCTGATGTGAAAAAGCTTCTCTGTGTGTAAAGGCTGCTCTGATGTGAAGGAAGTAGGACAAGTTGATGTAGGTGATGTTATGTAAATGAATTTAGCAATTTTTCTCTGAGAAAAACCCATTGGCAGAAGCTTTCGTGAGAGAAAATATAGCCAGACGACGGCCAACCTGGTGATCACAGTACAAAAATGGTACCATACATTTAATTATATATGGGGTCCGCTCTAAAATGCCAATAAGATTAATTATAAGGAACTTTTAAAATCGAAGGCCGTAAATATTGGGCAGTGATGTATTTCAAATTTCATTAGAAGGCGGAGCCCTGTATATATGCAGTGAAATCGTTTTCCTGCAGCTTAGCGCTAGATTTGCGCTAGTGTGGCGCTAGATACTTTTACATAGCCCATCAAGTGAAAGATAGTCACGCCCGATGCTTTCTTCCCCTCTTGCTTCCTTGCGTTTGTTGTTCGCTTGGGCAACTCCACAATAGCCTTCTTTTTCATAAATCTCTTTGAGCTGCATTGCCGCTTCACCTTCTTTTTGGCCAGCACCACAAACATGGCTTGTGAAGATATGTGAAAACAGCTGCTTTTCAAAATTTAATGGCTAGGCTAAACGTAGTTCTGGCGGTAGATCCGCGCTAGATAATTGCCCCAAGAATACGCAGCTGCCCCTCGGTCAACTCACCGTGCTTGTAAACGCAAGAGCACTGTTTGCTTCCAGCTGGGCCATGGGTTAGACCAAACAAAGGAACCATACTGGGTGCGATAGTGTTTCCAGTAGCTCCAGCAGCTCGGGATAAAACAGCCGCGCGCTAGCTACATGTGCAGGATTGTGATTCGAAGTAAGCATTCGCAACTTTTTGAGGTTTGTTGGGGCAATTGAACTTTCAAGGCGGAGTCCTGTAAAAAAAACGCAGTGAAAGCGATTTTCGTCCGAATCCGGGAAAAGGAATTTAGACAAGGCCCCATATATATGTTTATTTATCATTGTGCATGCACGTATGCTTATAGAATGTTTTTTTCTTCTTAGTTTGCCTGCTGCAAGCCTGCGAATCGTGCGCAGGCGAAAAGCTGGCGCGGCTTTGATCAGTGCCGAGCAGAGGCAGAGGATCATGGACGTTGCTGAGAACCTGGTGGAGGCTGGTGTGGCAGCTACGCCCACAGCAGTTTGTGTAGAGCTGGGTGATGACACCGTCCCTGCCAGCGCTGTGATTGAGATCTTGCGGCACCGGAGGAGGACATACGGCAAGTCTACCAGGGTGTTGCAGGAATCTCAGGCAACCTTTGAAAGCGCTGTGGAGAAGTACAAGGAGGAGGACGGACAACAGGACCTGTGCCTGTTCAAATTGAAACTCAAAAGGTCTTTGCCGCCATGGAACTCCAGCCGAAAAGAAAAGCAAGAAAAAGAACACAAAGAAGCAAAGCAAGCAGATGTCGTTTGGATGCCCTTGCGCGCAGATCCCGTTGGAAGCCCGCAGAGCCCGTTTTGGAGGCTCCCAAGCCGTTAAAGCTTGACAGAGGTGCCCAGGGGCGTGAATAAAAAAAAACGGTCCAATTAAAGGCTTCCGCAAACCTTTTTGGAGGATCCGGGCCGTGGACGGTTCAGAAAGGAGCCCAGAGGCGTGAATAAAAGAACCCGCTCCAGTTAGAGGCTTCCGGAAGCCTTTTTGGAGGATTCAGGCCGTTGAGGGGCCAAAAAGGAGTTAGTCGTGGTATAATGGTTTTTTGGTCGTGGGCTGTGGGGTGTTTTTTTTTCGTTGTCTTTATTTTTTTGGGTCGTCGTCTCCGCGCCCCGTTCTGGTCGTCGGATCCCCGGCGTCTCGATATGATCCAGCAACATACCTGGATATCACGAAGGACCGTGAGTGGTTGTGGGCCTGAGGAAAACATGTTGCTGCATTGCAAGCTTCGCCGCGCATTTTCATCAGAGCGGAGCGCTGTTGGTTGATGATTATAGGGATTATACTACCCAATATATTGAAGATTTGAAGATTATAATAATCCAATAGGGGAATCCCTATAAACCGACCTGTATAATGGAATGATAGAGGGATTTTTGAACACTGCTCAAGTAGCAGTATGCTATATCCCCTGGGTCAATCGGAGCTGTTAACCGCAAATGTTCCTGGTATATTTGGCCACGGCAACCCTTCCTCACTACAACTAGCAATCCGCATCATCATCGGTAAGATTTTCTATACATATACAATCATATATATATATTATATTATATACACGGTAATTCCTTCCAGAAACTGGAGTTGTGACCAGAAACTTCCACTTGCTCTAGTTGCCCCCGGCGTTTCGCCGCAGTGCGCCGAAGGGATTCCGGAGTTTCGTGGCGGCCAAGGACTGGCGTCACAGATGGGGAACCCCAGTTGGTATAGAAACTCTTCTGTTTGTAGATGATTTACTAAAAAAAAATGATTCCCATGGCTATGTTACATTCCTTTTTTTGGCGTCAGTTGGTTTCCATATAATTTTTTTTTAATGACTTGAATACTTAAGAAAGACCTTAGTTACATCGAGTCCCGTATTTCAACGGATGTTCGTGCCACAATTTGACTGTGTCCGGCAGAAAATGATCAAATATGAAATATCAGTGTCTAAATCCCATCAATCAGTTTTTTTTAGGGGTTTTGGCCAGGATTGGTTTAATGGAACATGTTCAATAAAATTGAGAGGAATCTTTACGCATATTTGGATGACAGTAAATATGTTCCCTGACATCAATCCATTGCTGACATATATCTAGATTATTCAATCTGGTTGGTGGTTTGGAACATGAATTTGATTTTCCATATATTGGGAACAATACTCCCATTTGACTAATATTATTTCGATGGGTGGCTCAACCAGGCCTCAACCACCAACCAGCAATTCTTCCCAAGTTATATCCATGTTTGTTCATTACTTTTAAAAAAAACAATCGTTTCCCAGTTTTTTTTCCGAGGTGTTCCCAGCTATATCCCACTTCCAGCAGGGCCGTCCGCAGGACGGACGTGAGTCGAGGTCTGCGCCGGCTGCACCGGCTGCGCCGGCTGCGCATGCTCACCTAGGCACCAGCCCCACGCAGAGCCTGGTCCCCTGGAGCTGTGTAAATCCATGGTAAATCCCCCTACAAAAAAACAAAAAATTGGTTTCTGGAAACTGTTTTAAGATTGAAGGGACTATTACCAACTTCGGAGATGTGATGATACTCTGGGGGATCCAAAAACCCCAATGATTGGGGATTCCAATAACCCCACTTCTCTGTGGTACCGGCCTTGAAACAATCCTCTCCTCAGGAAGCTGCCTGGTTAAATCCTGGATGTTACCTTCCTGCAAACGAACATAGATGTGGAAAACCCACCATTTGTAGATCATTTTTGGGAAACCATGGGTTTTATCTATATAGGGGGGTTCCATAAATGGGGGTACCCAATAGCTGGATGGTTTACAAAAATACTAAAATCCATCTATAAAAGGATGATTCAGAGGTACCCCTATTTCAGGAAACCATATATGTAAAACTTTACCCCAGGGTAATCCATTGAATCATATGAAATCCCATAATCCACATAGATTCACATTAAATCCATGAAATCCTCATTAAATCACCAGGATATTTGATTCTTCATCTCCGGTTGTCAGGCGTGATACTTGCTGCGCTGCCTTCACTGCCTGCGTTGCTTGGAGACAAACTGGGTTGAACTGGGTTCCCATCTACAAACCGAACAGCCAGGGGGTGTTAATCATCCTGAAATCGGATCTACAAATAAATATGATAATACATATTACTATATATTACTATATATATTACTATATATTACTATATATTACTATACATTGCCGTATGATATGGTAATATATGAAAATCAGTGTGTATATATATAATGTATATATATATAATGTGTGTATATATATAATGTATATATATAATGTGTATATATATAATGTGTATATATATAATGTATATATATAATGTATATATATATATAATGTCTATATATATATAATGTCTATATACAACATACATATATCATCAATATATATATATATATTTATATATACACATACATGTACTGTGTATGTGTATATATATATATATGTGTAGCCAATATTGATTTGATTCAATAGAATACATTTTGGGGGGTTGGGTGATCCAATGTGAATCCATGAGGATGATCCATCGAACGGACGTCGTATAGGACCGGACGTCGCTTTCGCCCATTTAAAGAGGAACGTATAGGAACGGACGTAGTCTGCCAACCCCCTAACTAGCAGGGTCTACGTTAGTTGGAGGGTATTTGTATGTATTTGTATGTATTTGTATAGTTGCAACTCCGAAAGGGCCCCTAACTATCAGGTGAAACGGGAAAACCTTGTTAGAAAGTTAGGTATCAGCGAGCTCAACATCAACCCAGATAAGAATAGAACACGCTAAACTCGCTTCCGATGAAACCGAATTGTTGCCCTTTGGCATCAAGCTTCCCATGGGACAGTCCCACTGCGGCGCACAAGGTATGCACAAGGCTGGACGATACAGCTGTGTGGATCAGCCCCGGACGACATGGCTGTCTTTTGGTGCTGTGTTTGTTCATGACTTGGGTCTGTCTCAAAATGGTTAATATATACCTTCTAAATAGCAATTTAATGGAGAAAATTATGACTATAACAAATGGATATAGAGGTACTATATTTTCAGACAAACCCATTTGCTAGCAATTCGGGATTGTGATTAATTAGGAGACCAGCCAGTGTATCTCTCGAATATACTTAGTTCGCAAAATTGAAGGTCTAAGCATTGCGAACAAGGTGGATGATAAGCCAGGGCACAAGTTCAAGCTTAATGAATTTCAACAAAAATGTCTATGCATTGCGAACAACATGGACAACAAGCCAGCTTGAACTACCAGAAGTGGTGAACTGTTGCTCACAAGCGAAACTATCACTGCCACTTCATGCTACTTTTGCCTGCTTTCCAGATTTACCATCTGGTTTCAAGAAGTAGCCTCCACTAACATAGATACCCCTTGGTAACCCTGGTACTTTCACACAGCTTTGGAAAATCTTAACCCTTCAAAGGCAAATCATTGCACTAAATGGCCATTTTCCTATGGCAATGTAAGACATGACCGCCATAAAGCGGGTTACCCCTCAGGTGCCGATGAACTTGGAGAGCCTTGCCGAAACATGAAGTGGTGACCGTGGATTTGCTGAAAATCTATCTAGATTGCGATAGTTGAGAGCTATGATTCATAATGGACTTATTTGATCGTTTATTCAATCTCTACATATTTCTACGAACTCATATATATAATATATACATATACGTATGTATTTTTGCAGTCATCTATCATTTGTTTGTGCACATGTCATGTATTACCCTCAACAGCGATGGTAAGCAATTGGCAGTTGGTTCCCTTGATATCTTCCACTGTGCCATGTCTAGAACAGTCACTGCAAAGACATGCAAAGTCGACCATTCAAACGATTGTTTTGATGTGGGTGCAAACATGATCCTTTCCAGGCTTTCTTTCGTGGGAGCACTAGACAATATGATGGGTCATTGACATTTTTTCAAAGGAGTTGCAATAGTCATTGGAATGACGATTCCGCATTGCGGAAACCAGGTCCACTGGACACTTTTTCACTTGTTTTTTCTGCAGCCTAGAATAGCAATTTATATATCCTCATACATGAGTTTGATGAAGAAGTAATTTATAGGTATTTAATGTGTTAAACACATCCCCAATTTTACCACATAAAACTTCCAGGCTGTCAGTACCATCCATTCACAATGGCCATCTTGTAAGAGGATAAGAATGGGACCTGGGCCCCAAAGTTTTGAGAGATTGGGAAACAACACAGCATCTTTTTTGGAACCATTCTTAGTGGCTTTATATCAATCTACTGTATCTAAATTATATATAATTACATATTGTGTATAACCAATATTGTGTATATAGCATTTTATATATTGTTTATAAATTATATATATAGCCTTTTTTCTAAATATTGTGTATAATGATGTGCACCATTGAGTCACCAGCACCAACCAAGATTTCTATTTTTGCCTTTCGGCATCCCAGGAAGGCGGCTATGTGAAATGGGGTCTGGAACAGCAAATCTTCGCCGCCGTGCCGCTTGGCATCCTGCAGTGAGCTGGCATCAGGTTGGTGCTTCGGAACATGACTTTTATGACTTTCCATAATATATTGGGGTATCATCATCCAAAACTGGCTTTCATATTTTTCAGAGGGGTTCAAACCACCAACCAGACTAGCAGTCTTGGATGTGTTTATGGTACTACCGGCGCGTAGCAAGTAGCATTTTGTGTTGCTGCTACTTACTACAGTATTTACGTATACTATGTACAGAAAAAAGTAGTTTGCTGGCGCGTATACGTGGGGTTTGATTTTATTTTTTGGTGACCTTCAATTGACCCTGAGAAACATAGGCTGGGATTCAGCCGCTGTTTGTTTTGTTCGCAATTAAAGAAATAGTACCATCTGGTTATTTTTAACAGTTCGCCATCGAAAATCACCATGCTGCTGCTATTGATAGGTAAACCATCTATTTCTAAGGGCCATCTATACCATGGCGAACTGTTAGTCATAACCAGAGGGTAAGGGTTTACCAGCTGGGTCAAGGAATAGAGTACTAATGAATCCAAAAGTATCACAAAAAATCACAAAAATATCCCAGTCGCTGGTGGGTAACTTGTGGAAAACGGATGGTAACTAGTGGTAATAACTGGTGGATAACTGGTGGATGGTATAAAACTTGAGTAAGTCTTAAGTTCGTAACCAATGACATGAGCTGGGTATTTTTCACAACCAAGCATCTTGGTTCGGAAAGGAATCGGTGTGTTCTTAATTCGTGTGTAAAGCGTAATGTGATACGAGCCAGTGATGATAATCACCAATGACTTTCCGATTGTTCAGTTGGGGGGCTCGGCCTCTGACAAAATCCGCATGAGTTTAGACAGTGAGCATCCGCATGGTCGTGTCATGTCAAGTACGGTGGCAAATCCAGCATTTGTTTTCATTGGCCATTGCAAAAATGAAGCTCGGTAAATAACACGATAGCCACACTACCACATATAATATACTAGCCATATTACACATAATCCAATTGTATGCCATGGCAGCAATGCGGGTTTAATGAACATGGAAACAGATGGGGTATGTGTATTGGGTTAGGCTTTACCATTGGGCCTGGTGATTACAGTGTGGCGCCAAACCAATCAAATCACTTGTTTCATGATTCGTAGTCAAAAATGATGTGAAATGATGTTGTTTTCAATTACAGGACATCCATGATCAAATCACTTGTTTGATGTGTGTGTTTTTTTATGTTTGTTTAATGGCTAAATTATGATGTCTGTCCAATTCTGTACTGTACCTCCATCCCAAAAAAGTGGATCTCCTGATGTTCCCCAGGTTCTTTGTGATTTTTCCGTTCGGTGTGCTTTATCTTCTCTTCTCCGGTCGATTTGGATGGTGGCACCTCAGCCGAAGCTGTGCTTTTGCGGTCGGTTGCGCAAAAATTGGATGTTGAAAAAGCGATGACCTATGGAAATGTCAAATGTCAATGGATTTTGTGAGTTTTTGAAGTGTCAAAACAAGTCTTGTTCCTTTCAATCAATTCCGTTGACATTTGCCGTGTCCATGCACACCACTTGCCGTCAAAGGAACTATGGCCTTGACGGTAAAGAACTGACCGCAGAGGAGCACCCATTAGAAACCATGGTGGATGGCATTTACACATGTTTGGGACCATAGAAACGGGGTTTTGACAAAAAGGGAAAATTTGATTTTGGATTTTGGATTCCTGTTTCTATGATTGGGTGGTTTATCGTAGCCATGTCGACCCGGCATCGGCCAAGAGGGGTAATTCAACCACCAGCTGATGGCCCCTCCCATCTGCCAATGCATGTGACGTATCATAGCTCCCATGCTCCCTGAAAAATCCGCGACCCAACCATGTCCCATTGAACATTCGCATTCAACGTGGTCCGATTGCTGGTTTCGAATATTTTTGAGGTTCAATAGTTGGGATTTTCGTCCCCCATTGACTATTCAATTCTTCCGCAGAGTTAAAACCATCAGCACGTCATCAGTCCAAATCAAAGTTGGTTCTCTTTAGTGACTCCTTTGACAGCGCTGAAACGCCACTGCTGAGGGGAAGTCCCAATGCCCTGTTTCATGATGCCACTGCACAATTGAAAACCAGAAATATACCTGTAGAGTGCGGGACAAGTTGGACTCATCGTGCTTCTTGTTATCCTCGTCTTTGTTCGATGGTGTATGGGGATAGGTCAAAACAATCAAAACCTTTGATTTTGGTATATTTTCCATCTCAAGCGGGGTTTGAACATCAATAACTTGGAGTGCAAAAAAAACTTAATCTGCCACCATTTCGTTGGTGTGATACCACTTGCGGTAAGAACGACTTCATACCGTTGCTGAAGAAGCTGCTGACAAAATAACACATCATCTACATTCATCTACTTTAAATTCTACCAATGCAAAAAAAACAATAAAACAGCGAAGATCCTCCCGCATCATCAACCCATTTTTTTGGGTTTCTAGGCCTTTTTTTTGGCCGTCGTCACCTCCAGGAGTACAAGAAGGCCAACAAAGTGGACAAACCCACCTGGGGCCGTTTCCCATGGGAGTTAGAGGGCGACCTCTACAAGAAGTGAGCGATTCGCGATTCGCCAAGCTGACGTGGAACTGGGTGGAACTGGGTTGAAATTGGAGAAGACAAAAAAAACACAAGAAAAAACAAGGTCTCCTGCATCCAACAAGATTACATGGACATACATGGACTAGATCGCGGCTTGTCAACTGGACTGCTCCACGGTTGTATCCTTGGAGATTGGAGCCCGGAGATTGGACCTCTGGGTCCAAGACCATCGCTTTTTAAAGGAAAGAGAAGTGGCGTTCGCTCGCTGCTGGTTGTTAAACATTTGCCCTGTAGCATATTGCCACTTTAATATTTACAAGTCAATCATCATCGCAAATTATTATAATTTATTCATAGAAACATTAGCTACCATGTACATAATTATTGTATGACCATTAAAGATAAGCAGACACGCAATTACGTCTCAGTTAAACGAGCAGCTGAAGAAATCTCCAAAAGGTCTGTGACAGTGGTGGATCAGTGATGCTGAACCCAGTGGAGTGGCGATTGGACTCAGATCTTTCAGCTCTACGGTATTTGATCATCACATTCCATATATTGTATTAATTGCTAGTATACATGGTAGTAATGGGGTAATCATATACATCAATTAGGTATAAACTGGAATATGCTGGGAACTTGGTTTTTCCATGAGTTTTCCCACATGAGGTGCCTTTGGCCATGCCACGTTGATGTCGGAATTTCTCGCTGATCGCAGGCGATGGTTGGAATGGAGATTTGGGAGGTCCGGAAGCGTACCGGTTGGACCTGGGGACCTGAAAATCCACAGGAAACCATGGGGTTTTCCAGTTTTCCCCATCAAATATAGAGAAGGTGTGGGAAAAGCCATGAGAAGCCATGAAAACCCCTTTTTTTGGTGGGGAAAAGATCGTCCATCATTCTTGGTTGGTGGGGTGGGCTTCCTGCACATTTTCCGATCTAAGCCATCCGATGTGACCACGGGCCTCCCAAGGCCTCAACGAAGGTGGCCGAGTTTTATGCGCCCAGCCAAGTGCGATCCTGGTGGGAAGCCAAGCACCGCGCGGGTGTCATTTGTCGAAGTCTCTGCTGGAAGTGAGTCGAACTCAGTGGTGTGGAAGAAGTTGCCGGCTTCACAATTTTCAAGTGAATGTAAGACAGTTTTCTACTATCACCCAGAGTTGTTTGCAAACGGAACATAGTTATACAATGTTATACATTTTTTCATCCATAGTTAATTTCTGATGATGTCCATGGTATGAACCAAATATCTTTCCCTCAAACCTGATCATCACATATCATCACATCGTGTTTGTTCCCCGAGGAAAAGCAGCAAATTACCGAAGAAACGGGAGTCCGAAGCCTCAGAGATCTCAGAGTTCGGGCACATTTTTTTATGGGCCCCAAAAGATTCCCATCCGGTCGTCAAACGTGGCATTTTGGGACATCCCCCCAAAAAAACGGATATGTTTCTGGAGAAATTCATCTAGGCTATTTCACATTGCCATGTTCGATGACCGCCTTTTTTTTCGGAGGGGACCCCAGGGGCCCATGGTTGTTTTGGAGCAATCCATAGTCCATTGTGAGGCCACATTCATTGCACAGCTGGAGTGGTATCCTCTTAGAAGATCCTAATCTCAAACACCCTCAGAAACACACGGTTTAGTTGATTGGAAATGATTGGAAAACATATTTCGGACCACACCAGGTTTTTTTTTAATGGGATTGGATCATTTTGAGCGTTCCACCCGCAGGAAAGTGGCGGAACTGGCCGGTCCCTCTGCTTTATGGTGCCTTGTCCAGTGAGATCATTTGAATTGATTGCTGGTTGGTGGTTGATGGTTAGTCGTTGGGCTATGTTGGGCTATGTTGGGCTATGTTGGGCTGTATGGCTATGGATCAATACCTATAGACTTCTGAAATCTTCGGAATATATGTTGAAGTGAGACGAAGTGAGAGGTTGACATCACTTAAAAACCACAGGCTTTGTTGAAAGAATGCCAGAAACCCAGCGTTTTTTGACCTTGCTGGTCCAAGAGTACCGTAGAATCTCCGTAGATGTTCGAAATCATAGAATACTTTAGAATACCTCATTCACGAAGAGGACTGGGAAGGCCCTAAAGGCAGGGCCCCCAAGATAGCCCAGCTGGTTCCTAACTAGGCTACGGGTTGAATTATGGCGGATAATATCTATATTATTTAATATTATTTATATAGTCTAAGAACTATAGTTAGATAGGGTTCTGATACAATGTATATAACTTGCGCTGCCCACTATGGATCCAAATCAGACTGAGCGGTCATTTCCAGTAAGATTCTAGCAGTAAACCAGCGCCTACCATTCCCAATGTTGACACATAAGCACTTGGTTGTTGATGGTTAGTCGTTGGGCTATGTTGGACTGTATGGCTATGGATCAATACCTATAAATTTCAGGTTTATCCATTTTCTGGGGGTGAACATCGATTCACATACCAGCTACTGTGATGTGAAAACCGATGGTACAAACTTTTGACCCATTGTCATATGAACTGGTTTCATCAGGAGTGCATGGTACTGCTGAAATCCAAATAATTCCACCTTGCCGGCCGTGGCCCAGGTTGCTGCCTATTCTTGATGAGGGCCAAAGAGAAGGTTGGAAGCAGTTGGCTGTGTCTGAAAATGGGGTATGCCGACCAAATAGCTATCCAATAGGGGGGTTTAAGCACCAAACTATGAGGATGTAAGTATATGTTAATATATAGCTGATAAATCATGGTATGGTTGATTGATGATAAGTTCGGGGATTATACGAACTAATATATTCCCTATATGGATCCAAATACTACCTTCTAAGTACGGTGTTGTTTGATCCCCTAAGTCACCCCTGAGCCCTGCTTCCTCAGAAGGAAAAAGGCTGGATCCCATAGGGAAGAAAATATACAGGGGAAATGATGACAATAGAGAGCATAACATTGATGATAAGACTGATAAGATATTGGTAAACCATGATAAACCATGAAATTTTGGGGGTATCCCCGTCAGCCCAGCCAGAGTATTTCCTTTGTTGTTCCCCTTTTTTGTTGATGGGGAAAGTCGGTCACAGCACTGGACCATGTTCTTGCTGCCAGGCCTTTGTGGCTGAAAATCATCATAATTTGAGACGATTTTTTATCACAAGCCCGTGTTGGATCCGTCCATGCCCCATACTCAAGGTATCTCAAGGTTGTTTTCAAGTATGGGCTAGTATTATGGATGCCATATTATGACCTTATGCAGGTAACTTCTGGAGTGACATTTCTGGAGTGACAAGTACCGTAGCGTACCGCAACGGGTGACCTGGCTGGACTTTCATGATGTTCAAACCTTGAGTTCATGTTGAGTGGTGATTCGACCACTAATTGCTTTACATGAGCAGGTCGTTGTTTGGTATTGATGAATTTTTATTGATAGATAGACTGATTATAATGTCTTCATGACTAGAATTTCTTTCGACTTCCCTTGTGTGATAATTGGTTTAACTGATGAACTTAGTTCGCATCTATTGTTGATTCATATCTCATTGAATGGTGTTTGTTCAAAGCCCTGAATCATTGGGATGGTTTACCACTTGGCCTAAAGCGTCAATCTAACGTCATATTCCCATATTGATTGGTCTAGATATAAATTATCTTAATCATCTCCACCGTTGCTTCTTTATAGATCCTTTGTTGGTTGAAAACACCAATTGGGAGATTCTCCAAGAGCCTTTCCCTACTATCCCAGACCAGCGATCCTCGCTGCGCTTGTGCTTGACCGTGCGATGCCTCGCTGAGCCCTATGCTGCCAGGGTGGGAAGCCTACCACGGTGGAGGATAACCAGGAGTTGTTCATACACATTTATACTTGGTTCTACCACACAGCAAAAGACCATGATGATAGTATGATGATAGTATGTTCATTTTTAGGGGAAGGTAGTCTTGCAAGCTCCTATTTGGCACAGTTTAATGTTAGTTGGAGTGATGGTATGTCGGTTAAATTGTCGCTTAAACAATAAGTTCATGATTATTTTATCGTCGATGTGTTCATGATCACAATTATCCATCAATCATCAAATCATCATGTAATTGATGAGTCATGATCATTGTCAAATCAACATCAAAGTATCGGCATCATAGTTTATAACACATGGTGAAACAAAAAACATCGTCAGCACAACATGAAGTCATCACTTAGACAATCATGAAAATTAATGTAAATTATACGTTAGGTCAACATTAAAATCATTAAGATGACTTATCATTTAAATCATCATCACATCAGATTCAAGCCATTCTTCAATCATCAAGTTTTTTCAAATCCTGAAGAAAATTATGTGACCAAGTTTGGATCCTGGTTGCATTACTAAGCCCTATGGATCCAAGTACCTTCTTAGGAAGTGTTTGGGGTATGATTTGGGGGAGTGTCTTGTACCTTCTCAGGAGGTGTTTGGATCCATAGGACGTATATATATATATATATATATTTGTATACATTTACCTAAATCCAGATTTATGTGATATATGTACATACTAATATATATCAGATGTATTATATGTATATATATATTAGATATTATTAAAACATATCCTACAAAATATCATATTTGATTGGTCATTTTCACATCATTACATTTTCATTCATTTTCCACGTTGCGCAACGTGGTGATTCCGGGGGCGCAAAAAACGCAGGGCTTTCACCACGGAAACGGCTTGGCAGCGATGGTCTGGAGGGTGCTGCCTCGCCTGGGCGCCCTGTGGCACTGGTGGATGCTAACCCAACTTTTTGGTTTGGGGAATGAACCATCAAGATAGGGATATATATATATGTATATGCTATCCCCCCTCCCAAAACCTATATTTTGAGTGTCTGATGTGACGATTGTGTGACAGATCTGGATATATATATATATATATATACATATACGTATATATGATTATTATTATATATATCGGATTAGATATGCACATACATGTAATTACATAATATAATATATATATACACATATAATTGGGATGTAATTGGATAATGGGAAAATAAGTATCAATATCTATACAAGGGTCCCTCAAGATAACCTATTTGGCTGGTGCAGAGTTCACCAGGTGAATTCTATGGATTATGGTAGATAATACTATCAGGATATTTATAGACCAACAAACATCACTGGGAAGCCCCATAAATCCCTATGGTACCTTCTGAGGAGACATTTGGGGTTGATTTAGGGGGTAAGTACCTAGTATTTGGATCCATAGGATAGATATGGATAGATGATATGTATCCTTTGTTACTGCAGTGGCTATTTTCAGGAACTCATCGAAATGATCAACTGGCTCTGGTCCACAATTGCGTGTTGTCTTTGGCAAGCTATGGCTTGCGCTTGCAAGTGTTACGGGGAACTGAGGTTTCAAACCAGTGGATTTTCGGGGTTCTTTCCATTCGCTGACCCAAGGGGAAGTTTCTTTAGGGATTCACCTTCCCCACATGAGTTTTTGTGTCATGAGGGTGACCCCACATGTCCATACTCTATCCCAATATGTCCCCTCTGTGATTGGTTTTATGTGCCCCCCCGTTATATTTTACTTTGTAAACCATATAGTAACTGGATATATCTATATAATTACCATAAATAATTCGTATAGTAACTAGATATATCTATCAAAAACCCATTTTATTGAAGTTATCAGCTAACTTAGCGTTCACGCGGGGCAGGCCTACGAAGCTATCTGGAGGCCCCAGTCTCGACACCTCCGCCTCTCGCAGTGATGTCCGGAGGCTCGGGTTGATGTAGGGAACCATCATCCCAACCAGTGGTTTTCAGTGGTGTCAACGGAGAAACTACACCATGAATACATATGAATACCATGGATTTATTTGGGGGGTACTCCCCCCTTGTCAGAATCTGATACTTGAATGGTACTATCCATGAAAATATCCCTTTGGGATTTACGGTTGATTCATCCAGGGTGGACAAATTCACCAATGATTTTCCCAGTGAACTAAACCTCCATTGAAATCATTTGTAGGGGGATTTTCCGATTGCCACGTTTGATTGCCGGGTATCTCTTTGGGGTATACTGCAAATGATCATCGAACGTAGAGATCTCATCCGAAAGGTTCGGGGTTGACGTAAACATCGACCTTGACCCTCAGCCAAGGCTCGTAGGAATTGGTTGGTTCGTACTAAGATGATGGGGTAAAATACAAATTTGTATGGGTCAATTGAGGGAAAAGGGACGAGCATATATAGATTACTTTATGATTACCGTGTTTTCTGAAGTTTGATGGGCGGAAGTCTCATACATGTATGTATTTGATTGTATTTGCATTGTATACTGGACATGTGATTAAGTTTCCGTGTACATAAGCGAAAACCCAAGAATTATCCAATACTGAACTGTCAACGTCTGGCTGGTGTGATCACATATTTATGACGTTCATCCTTATAATCGATGAGTCAGTATGATTCATTGCGTCCCGCGGGTTGAACCAATAAGCAGGTGTACAATGTATATATATACATATTTATGTATATATGTATACATACATATGTATATATATATATATTTAGAGAGAGAGAGAGATGCATGTATATATGTATATATATATATATGTATATATGTATATATATATATGTTTGTGTATATAGATATGTATATATATATGTATATGTATATATATATACATGTATATGTATATATGTAGTATGTATATATATATATATATATGTGGTATGTGTATATATATGTATGTAATGTGTATATATATATATATATATGTAGTATGTGTATATATATATATGTAGTATGTATTTATTTATATATTTATTAGCCAGCTTGCGATATAGTCATATAGTGCATACATAAACTATCCAGATCTATTCAGTTTAGCAGCTAAGAATCAACTGGTTGTTTCCAAAGCAAGAAAGATGAGTCTGGAGTTGTAGCTTCACTCCAGGTGTCAAGCAGAAAGAGGTAGGTTTGGACAAGTTCCAGATTGGAGGACCCCCCACTGAGTAGCTCGGTAGAAAGCCGGACTATCCTCCACTTTAGGGGAGTTGTCATCCAGGGTTACTACAATAGCCCATTGCTGACTAGGGTGATCCTGCTTAAGTTGATCGGATCTGTGAAATGATTTAGTCTACAAGTGTGTGTGTGTGTGTGTGAGCTGTCCCATAAAGCAACCAAGGTTGGTGACTGTCATGTTTTTTATTCCCCATGACCGTGCAATATTTGGAGGCCCCGGCTGACACTCGAAGACTAGGGCATGTCATGTTGTATCATATTTTGTTGGATTCTAAACCTTACTGTATGTGCAAAAGATGGACATGTTGGGTACTTGAGATGGAAGATGTGGTCACAGCAAGCTATGGCCAGGTAGGAGTGGTAGTTCTTTTCTTGGAGCCACATGACCGATGCTATACTCAGGAATTTGGTGGTGCATGTTGCTGGGGGCTCAACAATCGCGTGCATTTGGGACCACACGTGACACATTCAGAACGGCTCACGTCTGCATTGGGATATGCTGAACCTCCACATCTTGAAATACACGCATACAGGCTGCTATTCTATCCAATATATATATATATATAGTTACATATATATATATATATATACATACACATGTATTTGGGATGATCGCAGTCCATTATGGAAAATCCTGTCAACCAACCAGTAGAAAGGGACGACATTTCGGTTTTGAAGACTGCTCACATGTCATTGACAGTTGTCAGGTACCGCATCTCGTACAGTGCCAACCCATGCTCAGCCGTGTAGAACATTCATGCCGATCATGCAACTCTTCCACTTCACAAAAACAGCCACTGTCAGTAACAGTCACAGTATATGTTATATGTTTATTCCCGTTTATTTATTTATCCCAGATCTTGTGAATTGCAGTTCTCGTTATGTGTATGTATATGTAAAATAATAGTGTGCATATAAAATCTATGTATGTTCCCATGTAATCCCTTTCCCCTAATTTTAAACGTCCCCCCATCCTCAAATAATAAAAGCTATGGGTAGTTTTATTATTAGGGTGGTATTTAGTATTTGGGGGAGAAGCCTTTCCCTAATATTGAACTTGGAACCTCAATCAGATAACACAAAAATGTTTGATTTTGAATTTCAATATCTATCAACATCTAATCACATCATTGCCAAAAAGCTGGATTTCCAAGCTTTCCCCTAATATTGAATTAAAAACCTGAATCAAAAGAAAAAATGATTTCAACATCGATCAAGTTCCTTTTAACATCTAATTAAGATATTGCCAAAAATTGGATGCCAAGGACACTCATAAAAAAAACACCCCGGGGTGAGGTATTTTGTGGTTATTGGGGAGTAGAACCCTCAAATTTGACATAATTGGACCTTGAGTTTTAAATTGTTTTCTAGAGGGGATCGATTAAAAATCAAACTGGACGGGCGGATAGATACCCGCGCGTTATTTTAAGGGTCATGCATAGATCATCTTGGTATTTACAGTATTTTCATGCTTCATGGTTTTTTGAGGCCTTCACGAACTAACTTTGTTTTCCATCAAATGACAAGAGAGTTGTGGAAGTTCGAATGTTTGGTGTGCATCCGTGTTATTGATATCCATGTGATAAGATCATTGGGGAACATGCTGCAGCACAAATGCCTCGAATCAGAAGATGTTTTGGTTGCGGTGCTAAAGGACATCGAAAAGAACGATGTCCGACGCGGGCAGGCGCTGAGATCAGGAAACTTCGAAAGCTGGTGAGAACTCAACAGGCCATTTCGAAACCTGACTACTACAAAAGACAACTCCGTGGAGTTGAAGCAGCTCTTGGAAGAGTAGCTGAGAAGAAATCGGCCGCAAGTTAAACAGAAGAGGTCGCAGCCCGAAGAAGCAAAAACGACTGTGAAACTGGCAGGGTAGGTGTTGCGCCCTTCATGTGGTTGGTCTTATGTGGATTTGCTGAAAACTTTGCAGATGTTAGGTTGATGTTGATTTGTTGGATCAGAAACATTGTTTGTTTCATTTGAAGGACGGCACGGGATGGATGTCATTAGCCCCCCCAACTCCCCCACCCACCCCATATTAACAATGTCGTGCGGGTATCTACCCGCCCGACGCTTTTTAGTAGTAGGAGGAAGGGGTTATTTTGTATAGTACATGTCCATACATGTCCAATATATTCCAAGTCTTGTGATGTGCATCATCATAGTTTTAGTTGCACTATTCTTTTCCCATCTATAGTTGTATTTTTAGATGTTCAAAACTACAAGTATATTCTATAGTCCTAGTTTTATATACCAATGTAGGGGTATCCTAAAATAGGGTACCACTAAATTATCCACTTTAATAGGATTTTCCATTCTAAACCACCCATTTTGGGATACCCCCAGTTTAGGAAACCCTCCATGTTGGACAACAAAAATGGTTCAATTCCACCCCCATCACGTTGCCCCGGACCCGCGCCCCAAGGTGTGTGCTGCGTGCATCTCTGCACCACCCAGTTTCCACTCAGAGGCCTTCTGTTGTTTCCATAAATGGGGGATCCCCAAATGGCTGGTTTATAATGGAAAACCCCAAGCTAAAATTGATGATTTAGGGGTACCCTGTCGATTCAGATTTATTGGGAATATACCTACTATCACAAATTGATATATAGAACGAAGACTTAAGTGATTTAATCATGATCAACAAGGGGGTACTATATATATATAATTACATATTACCCTCTGGTAATTTAACATAGCTATTGAAAATGGCCATAGAAATAGTCGATTTTCCCATTGAACATGGTGATTTTCCATAGTTATGTGTATGTTTACCAGAGGGTACATTCACTGGTTTCGTCGAAACAGTGTTTTGTTCAGGTTGAAATCTCATGAGGCATCACGAAAAAACAACCCACCGGGATTTGACAGCCGACGTGCGTTGTTTCATGGGATGACAACGAGATGGGTTGAACCAGGTCCAAAAGCATCCAAAACCATCCAAAAGAGTGTCATTGTGGGTTTTATAAGTTATAGATACCACAAAAATACCCTAAACAAATAAACCATTCAATCTCATTAGCATAATCATCCTTGATTCATGGGTTACCTACCAACTGTAGTGCTGTTTTTCTTGGATAATAGATCCTATTTCATGGTTAATTATGTTTAAATTGGTTGATTTTCCCATCCAACTATTGGAAGTTAGTCTACCAGGGGTTTTGGAAACCTAATCATCCCATCTAACTATTACCATTGGTGACTTCCAATCTAACGTTTATTTCCAGTCAAATCCAGTTACATCCAGTTATATTCACACATATATATAATATAATATAATATAATATATTGTATTTTATTATAATATATTATATTATATATAATTATATTATACTAAATGTTATTATATTTTATTAAATTATATTATATATTATTTATTACTATATTATATTTTATTAAATTATATTATACTATGTTTTATTATATTATATTATATATTATATGATATTAGATATTATGTTTTATATTATATTATATTATATATTATTATATTATATTATATTAAATTATGTTATTTTATTTTATTTTATTTTTTTTGATTATATAGATTTATTTTTATTTTATTATATTATATTATATTATAGCGTATTGTTTTTTTAATTATTTTTAATATATAAATACATTTAATATTTTATTATTATATTATATATTGTATTATTATATTTTATTTTACTGTATCATATTATATTATATTATTTCTATTATATTTTATATGTTTATTATATTATATATTTTTTTATTTTATATGTTTTATATACTTTATTATTTTATTGTATTATATTATTTATTATTATATTAGATATTAATATATTATTTATTGTATTATATTATTTATTATTATATTAGATATTATTATATTATATATGATATGATATTATATTATATTATATGTTATTATATTATATTTTACCATATTATATTAAATTATAATATATTTTTAGTATATATATATAATATTATATTATGTTATATTTTACTATTTTTTTTTAACATTCTCTTGGTTGATTCGCCATCGAATCATGCGAGGCGACGGAGCCGGAGCTGTCAGGAGATATGCCGCTTGGAACGTGCACGGAACGGTAGACGAGTTGGGAGCTGGGAACATCTGGGAACCAGGTAAATGAAATGGTGATTTAATGGTGGTTTCATGGGAATTTATGGTGGTTTAATGGGATTTAATGGGAATTTATGGTGGTTTAATGGGATCTAATGGCAAATGGCGATTACCCTCTGGTAAACATACACATAACTATGGAAAATCACCATTTTTAATGGGTAAATCCGCTATTTCGACTGGGCAATTTTCAATAGCTATGTTGAATTACCAGAGGGTAATACTATTTCTATGGGATTTACCCTAGGATCAACGTTTACAGAAAGATGTGGATATGGGAAGACTCGTTCGGAACATGATCTACATTCAGGGTTTGCCAGGTTTTCTACATCTACGTTAGTTTACAGGAGGGTAGCAGTTTTCTTTTTTAAACCACATTCCGTGTAACTTTAACCTAACGCTAATATCATTCTTTTCAACTCTTCTAAGACCAGAGATCCACCAGTTGATGGTGTTTTTTGGGTAAAAACCATGTGAGCAGTGTTCCAACCCCCTGGTGGGTGATGAGTGGATGATGATTGTAGTTGGTTTTACTATGTTTATCCAATATATTGCTGATTGTCACAATCCATGAACTGATAAATCGTATTAACCCGACAGAGTGTTTTAACTCTGCTCATATGGAGAAATAAATGTGGAACATTTTGAAGATTTTATGGAACAGTCAGTTAATATGACAACTGGATGGTTGAGAACGGGATTCTAGGCGGATTATCATACTGTGCAATATGTGACGGGTAGTTGAACCCCCATATCATCAATCGACTTGGCAGTGCAACCAACGTTCAAAGAGATTTTACTGCTGGCCGTGCATGGAACATCATAACTATAGATACAGTACCCATAAAAAACAAATACACAATGACCTTTGGATAATTGTGGAGGATCACTTTGGTGGAGAAAGTGAATCGTTTGCCTTTTTGTTGGGTGTATACATAACATTATACACATGTTAAAACTCCCAATTCCAGACATGACCCATCCAACTCTGTATTTCTTCATGTTTCTCAAAAAAAGGTCCACGGTTCATCCGTTTTGCTCAGGTTCCACGTGCTCACCACCTTGGCCTCTCGGGACCAAGGACTTGACCAGTTCGTTTTTGTTTTTGTGAGTTTTTCCTTCGCTTCCAAAGGTTGTTCTCATGTTGAGTCGCAGTTTAACAACTTAGTTTCCTCTGAGTTGTTGGTGAGTTTTTGGGTAACGATCCAAGATATCCAAGATCATCCCATTTCGCCATTTCGCTTCCCATTGTTGTAATCCCGACACACAGTGGCATGTTGGGGTAACCCCCGAAAACGGCTGCGAGATGATGTACCCCTGTTTTTTAAATGTATTCTGTATTCATGAAAATCTTCATGATGTGTTTTTTGTTTGGGATTGTAATAATTGTAATCCCAGACTGTTGCATGCACGTGTTTTGTGGCATTCAGCATATATATCTATATATACATATATATATATATATACACCCTATTCTTTTAATGATATGATGTCGCTACATCCCATGGATGATGTTTGTACTAGGGTTTTTCGAATGGTGAAACATGTTTAAGCCCGATGTTCATCGATTTAACCCTTAGATACCCGCTGGTTCAATGTGATTCCCAGAACTGCAGGAAATTTAGGCCTATTGCAAAAGCCTCTAAAGATCACTTGCACGAAGCCATTGAGTGTTTGGTGTCCATGTCCATTACAAGTTAGTCCCAATGATGTTGGTTTTATACCCCAATTTTACATATTATATCATATTATGTGTACAGTGTCTATTTATATATATATATATATTTGCATGGTATAACACCCCAGCTCATTGTCCAGTGACAAATCCATGATCATTTCAGATTTCACTGGTTCTATATTCTATACAATTGTCATCCCATTACAATGGTTGGTTGGTTAAGATTCCAATAAACCCATCATGTCCCCGTATATATTATCCTATCCCTGTTATGTTATATATACAAATACATATGATTCTTGCTTGAATGTATATTATGTGTGTATATATATATATTATCATCCTGAAGTAGATAGAATATCAAAATTTTCATTTTTTTGTCTGAGGACGTTTGAAATTCCATATTCTATCTATTCCAGGATGATTATATATATATATATATATATATATATCAACATACAACATTATGCAACCACTAGGAGTCCCTCTCCATTCTGTACTCGTACCCCAAACCGTTCGTGCTGTTGGTTTCATCAATGGCCATTTCAGGTACCTAAATTGGAAGTACCTACCATATCATCACATATCATATGGGTCCTATTTTTCATTAAATTTCCCCAAAGACTCCTGAAAATATGGCAAGGAGTATGGGAAAGTCGGAAAGTCACTTTAGGGTCCTGAAATTCCCATTGATATTCTTCAATAATTATCTATATATGATAAGTATGGTAATTTCACCAGGTCTTGTTGCTGATTCTGCTCCTTTCGCTCCGCGGGCTCACGGGGCTGACCACCAGTTCCGGAGAATCTTGGGCTACAAGTACCAAGTCACAGGGGGTTCTTTTCCTGGAGGATCCCCATAAAAATGGTATCCAAACATGTATGGTTTATAAATAGTGGAAAATCCAACTTGGATGATTTGGGGTACCCCCATGACTTAGGAAACCTCCAGCTGAATTTTGTAGTTTATGGAATTTATGGTAGATACAAACCAAGAGATCTGAAGAACCAGCACACATTGCTTTATCATTTATCCAAAAACCCAAGTTACTTGATAACCATAATGGAATGTATAAACCAACAAAACTATAATGGAAGGTATAAAACCAACAAGTACCGTAAATTATTGGAGGCCCCACCTTTTTTTTTACCGTAGTACCGTACTGTTTGGACGCCACCATGGGGTTTCCAGCGATTCACCGGGGTTTCCAGCGATTCACCGGTCAGCTTTTTTGAGGCACCAAAAAAACTCAGCAATCAGTCAGAAACAAATAATACCACCATGGATTGTTATATTGTTATATATTGTTATATTCTTTGTTTTTGTGCCCGGGCCTGGTGAAGATCTTTTCTTTGGTGATTTTTGTCGTTTGTGTGTTTTGTGAGGCCAAAGTCACCAAACCAGCGCAGTCACCAGCAGCTCCCCTAATCAAAAACAAACCACTAGATGCGCAAACTTGCACGGGCAATGAAAGAAAAAAAACAGAAACTGGCGGGAACGTGTAGCCCCATAGATCGATATAGATCGGAACATGATTGCATCTGTTAGTTGTTCGTTTTGTGAGAATCATGGAAAGACAAAGGCTCACAATGCGTTTCTGACAAGTCAAAAAGCGCTCCCCCCATGAGGTCCCTCTCATCTAAGTGTATGATGATACATATTATGGTAGCAATAATT